CTCGAACTAGCCTGTTCACCTTGGCTTGGAAAGAGCGCTCGGCCTCCAGAGAGGAAGGGGGATCAGGAAGAGGTGCTAAGACTGCTCAGGTCCGAGGATGGAGCCCGCGCAAAGCCCGAGAAATCTGGGCCTCCTCGTTGGCCCGTGTGGACGGCACACGAGATCTGCCAATGCAGGCCTTGGATCGCTTAGCATTGCGGCCCTGATCGAATATGAAGGCACGCACTCGAGGCATATCAATACACGCCCGTGTCTCTCGGGCTCGTGGCCGAGAGCTCGAAAGGCCTGGACATCACGACCCGCCGCCCCCCACCCGTCACCCACCGAGGGAGGAAGAGGGGAAGGATCGAGGCCCTCGCTCAGCAAGGCATCGTCGAGACCAGGAGCGGCTCGGAGCGGCTCGAAGACTTCAGGAGACAAGCTGGAATAACGAGCAGCCGCTCCCTGCTTAATGTCAGAAGGGGCGCACTCCATAGGCATCAGAGACTTCTAAGGGTGCGCGCGTAGTGGTTGCACTTCGCGCACCTGTGCTCACCCGTGCGCTTACAGACCCAGAATTCACCAGCCCTGATCGCCAGCTCTTTAGCCGCACGCCTAACCACAGGGGCACTCAGAGGTTCCGAGGAACGAGGGCAAAGCTGGGCCGACTTCTGGGCCACCGCCTGGACCATCCAGGCGAGCACCTTTGCAGAGGCTTTGGCTTCTTGCAGCTTACGCTTGTGGAAGTTCACAAGAACGTGTCCTACTTCATGGTGGCGCGCGCCCCACTTCGCGAGAAGATCAGCCCAACTGTTGCCGACAACATTCATGAAGCTCGCCGAAGGGTCATTCAGCAGCTCCTCGGCAGACCTGTGGGACGGAGTCCATTCAAAGGTGGGCGGACGCTCACACTCAGCGACATCATATAACACGTGAGCTCGCCTCCAAATATTGGCATGCGTTGAGGCCAGCCTTTCACTATGGGCACCCCAACTACTGCTGGCCTTGACCAGGGACAGATGATCGCTAATCACATGAGCTGGCTTGCTAGCAATCTCCAGACCCTTAAGCATAGCATAATACTTAGCACGCGGGACAGTCTGGACTCGGCCCAGAAAAGGCCGGTATATTGCTCGAAGGATGTTATCTTCATCTGAAAGCTCAACAACAGCCCAACCGCACCGGGTCAGGCCGCGGACCCCCGACGCCAAGCCAGATCCATCAAAGAAGATCCGCCGACCCCACACTCCCCGCCAGTCACCCCGTCCGAACATTTCCGAGATCGGCTCGACGTCGGGGGGGGAAGCCGGCAGGGGCGGCAACCCGTACGAGAGCAAAAAACATTCGACCCCTGAGGCCCCATTCACATCGTCATAACGATCTCGAAGCTCCGCCCGCGGCACAAGGCCTACCTCCTGGTCGGTGCTGCCCTGTAGCATCCCAGGACAATCAAACCACTGATGCGCATACGTGCCAGCAGCCGTCTTGCAAACGAAACCTTTGTCCGACTGGCGCTTTTGAATCGAGTGCAGCCGCTGCGGAGGCCAGCAAGCAGCCGCCCAAAGCGCTCTAAGAGCGCCTTGTCGAGCAGGATTGCTAATAGCCAGAACAGAAGAACGCATGGCCTGGAGCCAACAAGTTTCGCCCGCACTATCGGCGAAATATGCTAAAATCCGCTGAGCCTGCAACCGCTGCAGCCCCTCTTCGAGGCAGCGCTTGACGTCCGCAGGGCAGGTGCGGACAAGATCTTCCTGCCTGCCGACGTCATCCACGAGAACACCTGGCGACAACATCGACAAGCCAATCCCGAGCAAGGTAACGAAAGTCGACGAGATGGGGCCACGAGCTCCCGTCCACGTCACCCAACTCGGCAACCTCGTGCGGACTTGCTCCCAGACTCGG